GTTATTTTTATTTTTCTTCCTATCTTAGCTAATCACTTTTATCATAATATTTTATATTAAACTAATTTAAAGATTTTTCTTCTATTTCTATTATTTATCTTTTCTTGCATTTTAAGCTAAGAAAAATTTCTGATTGAGATTCAGATACATAATTCTAATATTTTTATTCAAGCTAAATAATTATCAATTTATAAATTATCTCTTTCTTTCTATTTCTAATATATCAATCTTTCTCCTATCACATATTTAATTATTTTTTATACTTTTAAATTTTCTTGTTTTCTCTTCTTCTTTATTCTTTTCTTCTTGTCATTTTCCAAATATTTGTTCTAACTTTTCTTTCTCATATTAATTTTTCAGATAGTCTAGATTAGCATATTAAAGAAATAATGAAATCTTATATTGTAACATCAAGAATTTAGGCTTTATTGCAAAGAAATTTCTTGAATTTAAATATATCTCTTCTTAATATTTAAATTATTATTTTAAATAAGATATATAAATTGCATTTTACCTTCACATTATATATTATAAATAATTATGCTATAATGTAATCTTGAATAAATCTAGCCAGTAATTGATTAATTCAGACTATAATTCTAAAAGTTATATTTTGAATACTCTTTTTATATTTCATAAACTTATTTTTAGAATGACTATAATTCTTTATATTATAGTTTAGCTTATTATATTTAGAATAAGATTATATTATAACATATTAAAATAATAATAAAAATTTTTTTTCATATTTCTTCCCTATCAATCCTTTAATCAAGTAAAATTCAAGTTATCTAAAGCAAAAAAACTATTATAACTATCTCTTTACTTTAATAAATCACATAACTTTTTAACAAATTATATTATAGTCAACTCTAGTTATAATGAATCTATTTATATCAAAATCTATATATAATGAATAAAATTTTCAGAACTAAATTTTTTATATATAATAATACTAGTTATACTAAACAAATATAGTAAATTATTTTATATCATATCCAAACCTATTTGACTAATCTATTATTATTTATATATATATCTTGATATAATGAATAATCACATAAAATTAATTTAATTAGTCAAATAAATTATATGAGATTTTATTAATATCTAATACAATATTATATTATCTGATACTATATTATTTGATACTATATTATCTAATACTATGTTATTTACTCATTAGCTTACTATATTATCTGTGTAAGATTTTAAATTTATAAGGTAGACTTTTTATTTACTCTTAATTCAACTTTCATTATATTTTTCATATTATTCTAATTGATATTAATATCTTGATATTTATATTGAAAAGAAAATGAGTTAGTCTTACTGCTAGACAAAAACATAAAATTTATGAAATAAAAGAAAGAAATTCAAATCTTAATCATATTGAACTCAGTGATCAGTATGATATTAGAAAGTTGATAATATTAGAAATTCTCAAAGAAAAAGAATGTTGGCTTATTATTTTAGATAAAGAACAAGAAAAAATGAAAAAACTTCATGAACCTAAATGATCACAACTCAAAACTACTCTTGATCTCTGGGTTGACAATATACTTATATCACAACAAAATATTAATGAATATATTCTCAAAGCAAAAGCAAGATTTTTCATATATTAATAATTTTTATGAATCTGATAATTGACTTACTGATTTTAAAAAATAATATGAACTTTGTTAATTTATAAAACAAGATGAATTAGCAAGTATATCTTTGATGAAATTAATAAAAACTGATTGGCTTATTTTATAATAATTATTTCAATTCTATAAACTTGAAGATATTTAAAATACTGATAAAATCAGACTTTTTTAAAAAATAGAACCATTCTAAATCTTAGCTTATTTAAAATTAGCTAAATATAAAACAAAATTACGTATATTAATACTTTGTGCTATAAATATAATTAGAACTGAAAAAATAAATCTTATCTTTATTAACATATATAAAATACCTCATCTAATATAAAATTTTAATTATAAGAATCTTCCTATTTATTATTATTAGAATGAAAAGTCATAGATGCAAGTTAGTATCTTTAATAATATTCTTCTCAAACTCAATAATTAAATAAAATAAAATAATTGAAAAATTCTACTTTTAATTGACAATGCACCAGTACATATCATTCTTGATAAAACTATAAAAAGATTAAATAATATACAAATTAAATTTCTTTCTTCAAATACAACTATAATTCTCTAATTTTGTGATGTCAGAATTATTTATTCATTCAAGTATTAATATAAGTATCTATTTATTTAAAATTAAATTAATACTTATAATGATATCTAAAATGGTATAGTACAAGAACTTGTGAAATATAATATCTATCATGTATTACTTAATATATTGAAAGTATAATCTATAGTATTATTACAAATAATTAAAAACTGCTAGAAAAAAATTGACATCCTCTTACCAAAAGAAATAAAAAATTTTACTAAATCTTCAGAATACAATGTTTGAAATTTAATTTCAAATAGATATATTTTTATTGTAAAAATAGTTTTTTATCTTAAAAAAAATTAATCTAACTTTATTTTAGCAATATGAATGAAGAATAAAAACTTCAAAAATTAATTGATTATCTACTAGTAAATAACTATTTTACGATATATGAATATATTAATATTGATGATAGTAAAATTGAGTATGGGTTTATTGATGAGAAAATATTAGTGATAATAGCAGATGAAGATAAGAAAGAGAAGAATTCTGTTAATGAACAAGTAGAAAAAGTAAGTTATAATGAAGCAGAAAAGTCTGTAAATCAAGTATTATAATTTTTATATAAACAAGAATTAGAATTTGGTAAAATTAATAAGAAGGTAAAAATTTTAAGAAGACTACATAAATGAGTTAAGTTGATGATTATAAATAATTTTAAGCAAGTTGATCTTAATTATTTTCAGAATAGAAATCCAGAGTAAAAATATTTTTTTAAATAAATAATAAATAAGAACAAAAATAAGTATAAATCTTTTTATTTTGTCAATTTCTAGAATAATTCATTATTGCTCTTAATTTTGAGAGTATTTTGTTATTATTATTAATTTCTAAAGAATTTTATTATATATTTCTGTCATCATCAATTCATTGTCATTTTTAGAGGATTTAATTGCGTTAATTGTCATTAATAAATATCAGATCATCAGCTAAATATATTTAGTAATCACGATCACGTGTATTTGATTCTATTGGTCCACTTTATATAACGAACTGTTCAGTATAAAGAGAGCATAACGAACTCACTCTTTAACGAACCAAATGTCCCAGTCCGAGAGGTTTATTATAACCAGAGTCGACTGTATATTATTCACAAATGCTTTTATTTTAAACTTTATTTCTCTTTCACTTTACTTTTTTATAGCAAATACTATATCTTTAAAAAATTTAAAAAATATATAAAAATAATAAAATTCATAAAATATCAAAAATATTTCTCTTTATTTTTTCTTTTCTATTTTCTTATTAATACACCAATATGTCAAATAAACAAGTTTCACTTTCATTATTATCTTGATTAATATTAATAAATAAAATAATATATTTTTAATAAACTATTTGTTTTGATCATTGTCAAAAATTTTTCTGAAATTTCTAATTGTTGTGTGTGGCTGGATGTGGAATGCAATTAAGCAAGCATATGTCAATCAACTGTGAGTGTCCTGAGATCTGAATGTGTTTTGTCTAGTCTGCTAGGTTGCTATTACATACACAAGCCTTTAGAACTAGCATGACTGACTAATTACATGCAAGACAACTCAAGTCATACCATGAATCTCACAGGTCAGGACACAGCAGGGGATTCACAATCAAACTCGTTAAGGGCTTTTTCTAAAAAAAGTTAAACCTTTGGGAATAGCATGACCAACTAATTACATGCAAGACAACTCAAGCCATACCATGAATAAAATTACTACATGAAACTAATCTCGCAGGTCAGGACACACCAGGGGATTCGACCCGCAGACAAATAATTTTGTTACTAATTACAAGAGAAGCGAATACTTAGAAGCAAAATATTTTTTGAGATTGTGTACTTGTAAGACATAAGTCACATATCTGAATTAAGTGTCACTAATCATTGTTATGATTTGGATATTCGGATTTTTCTAACCGAACATTTTCACGTAATCCGAGCAATTTTCTTTGCCATGGCTAGGGTACTAAATCTTAATCGGACGACTTGTCGTATGTATACCCCCTACCAATTGTGTATCCTTTTATTATCGTTGAAAACGCCGAAAAGATGAACGTGAAGCATGAAAGAATGACGATTGTCAAAATTATTCTCTGAAACAATTGCGACAACTATCTTTACGAGTAACTAATACAGCGAAAGGAGCAAGCTTCTTTCACGAAAGAAAATTAACTTGAACATACATAAACTTAAGAATGACTGTGAGCTCGGAGACATGCAAAGATCGCCTTGGATTCGTTTGAGGTCAAGTATTGTTTTTTTCCTGGTGTTGTGGCATTCTGACATTACTCGAGCAAGAGCATCTTCTGGTTGCTCTTGTGATCTTCTGGTTGAGTAATGATCAGTTAGGGCTTTCACCAAGTAAGAGCATCTTCTGATGATGATCTTCTGGTTCGGGCTTTATCCAGCAAGAACATCTTCTGATTGCTCTTGTGATTCGGATAATGTTTAGTCAGCCACAATATATTGCATTACAATACTACAATGTATTGTGTTGTTCAAAGATAGTCATTACTAATACTTTTCTTCTAAGATGGAAAAAAAGACGCTAGGTGTGATTAACTTTTGGAAGGAAGTCCAAAGATTAAAGGAGGAAGAAAGTAATCCGACTCGCACCTCAACGTATTCGGAAAAACTGTAAGAATGTTGGAGTGGGATGTTGATAAGAGAACCTCGCTTGTTCTAACACCTTTTTCCGCGAACAGCTTACTACGCGTTCTAAAAGACATTTATAAAGAATAGCATAAATGTTATATAGTAATGATCGGAATTTTACCAAACTTATATGTTTTGTGAACTACAATATGCCTATGCGCAGGAAGTATTAACTGAAGGTATAATATTACCAGATCCTCATAAACGAGAGAATGAAATTGAAGGAAATGTTTCACGTAAAAAGGTAAAAATTATAGGTTGCTAAGTTAAGAGAACATAAAAAGCTCAAGCGTATTTTCTATATTTAGGCGAAAACAAGTATAACTAGTATTCCAAACACCAGACCAAGAAACGATAGCGAAAAGTCTTCCTCTTCTGATGTAGAACCTGAAGATGACGAAGAAATAAATTTCAATGTTGAAGAGCCAAACACCAGACCAAGAAACGATAGCGAAAAGTCTTCCTCTTCTGATGTAGAGCCTGAAGATGACGAAGAAATAAAGTTCGACTTTACAGATATTGAAGAGGAGTTGCAACGGGAGCCGATCGATGAGGTATGCTACGTCAAGATCCTGGTTCTTGTATTCTGAATATCTCACAGTTTGCTTCCGTTTTTTAGTGGGAAGTTGGTGCCATCAACGTATCACGAAGATTTAGACAATATCAGATAGAGGTACTTGGGAAGGCGAAGACTAGCGGTTTGAAATACGATAACATTTATGAAATCTTGTAAGTATTCAGAGACATGTTGTAACATTAACTATAATATGAGATTATATTGAGCATTTTTCCTTGTTTGCTTTAGAGCCTTATCATCAATAATGGTGTTCTGCTGGCCCCCATGTTTACCATTCAAGAATGGGAGGAAATTACGGCAACTAATCCATACAAGATTCAAGAATCTCCGCTTTCACGGGAGATTTTATCATCCCTTCGCGAAGCATATTGTAACCATTTTCTTGGTAATGATGTCTTCATGAATGGTGGTAATTCAAAACTAAGTAGAACAGTCGCATGCGCTTTTAATGATCTGTAAGTTTACTCATTTTATAATATCTTTCACCCATAAATTTATAGATCAATTCTTTTTTAACACATTTACAAGTATAACAGCGTCCCAGATGTTGCTCCACCAAAGATGTCCGAGGATGAGCACTGCTACATGTTTCTTCATCCTATCTCTCGTCCATTATTTGCTGGTTCGAGAAAAGAATATGAACTAATGCTGAATCGTGCCAACACAAGTTCAAAAAAAAGACCAGACCTGTCTTGCACAGTAAATCGTGTACCGATTCTAAACTCGGAATTTAAACCTGTTGGTTGCACACCATTACAACGTAAGAAAGACGAGCTGAAAGTACAGTTAAAAGCACGAAAATCGATAAACCAACAACTACAAAGCAAAGGAGGTCCAGGTGAAGCCGTCATATTATTAAATATAGGTAAGTCATGAGAAATTACATGAAAGGTTGTTATTTTTGTATATATTAACTTCTGTGATAACTAGGCGATTTGATGCAATCATACAGTGGCTGCCAAATGTTTTGCATCATCCAAACGACAATTTAAAAGTTTAATAACTTTGCGCACATACATTGAAGATCCATAAATTTAAATATACATAATCGGCGAATCTTATAAAACATACGGGGATAATCTTATAAGTAATTATTATCGTAATAACAAAAAAAGAGATTTACGCAATTTTACGTAATGCGTTTCTTTTGATTTTTAAAACATAAAAATTAAAATACTTTGCCAACTAAATAACAAATAAAATCTAATAAAATTTAAACAAAACATACTTTACCATCTGGTCATCTACTAAAGAACAATAATAATCATAATCAAAAATATAAAAGAAATTGTGATCCACCTTCCTACAATAATAATTATAATAATAATGGTCCTATCTCAATGGAGCTGGATCATGTAAAAGGATCTTATCAGTCAAATAATAATAATAATAATAACAATTGAGGAAGAAATAATAGTAATTGTAATTATTATAATTGTAAACTGGATCATTTCACAAAAGATTGCCAGTCAAAAGAAAAAGTCAAGATAAATAATATTGAAGATAACTTTAACATCATCAATATTATGCAAAATAATAATGTTGAACTTGTTTATTTGGAAGATAATCATGAAAAACTTTTGAAATTTAATGATCAGATGAATGAAAAGTCTATCTGAATCTTGTTTAATAATAAAGTATTTTATAATTTTATTGATGAAATTTATATTTAGAAAAATCAATTACAAACTCACATTATGAATTTTATAATTATTGAGCTTACTGATAATTATAAGAAAGAAGTAAATCTGTTTATTAATAATAATAAACTGAAATTAAATATCTATTATATTTAATATTAATATATAAGCTCTTAATATATAATATTATGATCTTATACTTAATAAATCATGATTTTATTATATTAATTTTATTATTGATTAATATAATAATTCTATAATATTTAATTATAATAATAAAATAATCAAGATTAATATTAGTATAGAAAAATTTATATTAAGTTATAATTTATTATATATCTTTTATTAATAGTTTACTAAACTTTTATTTAATATCAAATTATTTATAATTTATACTATAAAGTATAATTAGTAATAAAAAAACTTGATTTAGAATATTTTATTATAATTTCATGTAAATTATATTAAAATATATGATCAAGATATTATTTAAAAACTTAAAAATAGTAGATTTTATTATTATAAATTTAATATATGATTCTTTTATCTTTATTTTAATAATTAATTGGAAATGATATAATATTATTTTTTTAATTTATAATTTGATAATAAATTTTAATTTTCTATTATAAATTATTTTAATTTATTTAAATTTTATAATATTTATTTTTTTAATAATTATTTATAAATTTTTAATAAAATTTAAATCTGAACTTAAT